AGAGCAGCCCCGGCCCGCCCGGCCCAGCGCCCGGCCCGCCATGTCCTCCGCCAGGTTCGACTCCTCGGACCGCTCGGCCTGGTACATGGGGCCCGTGTCTCGCCAGGAGGCGCAGACCCGGCTCCAGGGCCAGCGCCACGGCGTGTTCCTGGTCCGCGATTCGTCCACCTGCCCCGGGGACTACGTACTGTCCGTGTCCGAGAACTCGCGGGTGTCTCACTACATCATCAACTCACTGCCCAACCGCCGCTTCAAGATCGGCGACCAGGAGTTCGACCACCTGCCGGCCCTGCTGGAGTTCTACAAGATCCACTACCTGGACACCACCACGCTCATCGAGCCGGCGCCCAGGTGCGCGGAGGGCGTGTGCGGGCGGGGGTCGGGGCTGGACCCGTGGCCCCCTTTTCGGAACCGGGTTACTTTCCGGAGGGCATTCCGAACCGAAGGCAGTGTCAGGATCTGGGTCATTGTTGATGAAGGGGTGCGTCTTAAATGTGTTGAGTTGCGGGTGCCTAGTTGAAAATGGACGCTTTCTGCCTTCGTTACGTTCTTGGTTTAATTACCCTGCTAAAGCAGAATTTTGTTGTTTTTGAAACCTTTTTTGGGCCACGGATTGAGACTCTGAAGCTAGCTTACTCTCCCCCCGCCCCCCCGCAAGCACACACGAGTTTGCACACACCTTTCAAGTTTTTTGAACTCCAGGTTAAGACCTCCTGGACTGCAGCTTTTGGAACACTGGGCAGATGAAAATGCTTTAGCGTTTAGAAACAAATACCTTTAACTGTGAAATATCAGAACTATATATTGATACCCTGGTGCCAAGTTTGAAATAACCTAGGCATCTACTTTATAATACATTAATTACAGAAATTGTAAAAGAAGGTGCTTTGGTTTCAACGAAGACTTTTTTTTTTTTTTCTTAACAGTTTCCCCCCAAGCTGGACTGTCCATAGACTGGAAATCCATTTGGTTAAATTCCAAGGAGGAATGAGGCTAGAATGTTACTAAGGGAATTTTTTGAATGACACTCATCTTAATTCTATCTTACTTGAATTTCAGATGTACTTTTTGTGTTAAGTTTAATGACTTAGTATCTATTTTAAAGTTAACCCAGAGTGACACCGATCATTAGGCATCCTCTTTTCATTTGATTATTTGCCTTAATCAGTATTTTGCTAGAGGTTTCTTTTATTTAAATTACGCCAAATTTGAGCTGAAGAGATTGCCTAGAATTTTAAAAGTAAAAGGTATTTCACTGCCCAGTTGATTTCTTAAACATTTGTTTAAAAAAGACAGATTTTTCAGGATGAGATGTTTCTGACTTTACAGATTCTCTGACAGGATTGTACTCTGAGCTCTAAACACTAAAAGGTATTACATTAATTAAGGAGCACCCACTGGACACACCTCAGCGTTGCTTCTGTGGAATAGAGATAGAGAAGGAACAGCATGACAGTGGAATGACTTTGAGGTTAACTGCAGAGCTAAATGGATTTTAAAAACTGGTGAGAAAGTGATTATAAATCAGATAGTGTATAATGAAGACCTAGACACCAAAAAGAATCTGATTGGTGAAATCTCCAGGTCCCCGAAGATACTGGTGACTGGAGTCAACTTTCAGCACATGTAATTCCAATATAAGGGGTTGGAGAGACTCTTAGAACCTACAGTAATGAGATTAAATACGTTTAAGTAAGTTACTTGCCTAGCTTGTGGAGGTGAATTATATCATTAGTTTCAGGCATTTAGCATGCCATGTTGTGTTCCAGGTGTGTGCTTACTTTGAGGTGACAGGTACTATAGCGCAGCTGTGAGTGAATAACTAGATCCCCTTCTGGGTGGAGAAAAAGGATTGTGCTGCAGCGGCTTCCCGCAGAAACGACCCCAAACTTCCCCTTCAGGCGTCTTCCCAGGTGCCCTTGTAACTTTGTGAGTGTGGTGGCTGCCCTCACCCCTCTCATCCTCCTTCCCGGGAGCCAGCCCTGCACACCCATGCAAACCTGCGGGCCTTCGTTCGACTGCTGGCCCTCCGTGGAGCACCTCCCTCCACTGGTTCCTCACCTGCGGAAATCCTCCCTGTGGTGCTGGGGCCTTTACCTGACCCCCTTGAGTTCAGCCTTGATTGTTTCTCCTCTGTGCCCTCTGCCCCAGGCATTTTGCTGTAGTTTAGTTTTTCCTTTTCCCTGCTGTCTCCAAGGGCTGTCACAGTGCTGGTTGAATCAGATCCTGGCTGGATTTACTTTGTCCCACTAAATCTGGATTGCCTCTCCTGAGGATTTGGTTGATGTGTTACCTACTGTAGGAGACTACGCCAGGCAAGCCTTGGCCAAATGCAGAAATCAGGGCGATGCATTTTCACACCCCAGACAGGATAAATAAAGTGGTTTAGCTTTTTTAGGCCTCAAAACTGAGCTCCTGAAGCCAGAGTTTCATGCCCCTTGGCTAATAGTTCTTTTGGGGGGTCTGTTTTGCTTAGTGAAAGGTCACAACTGTATGACTTCCTCAGAATTTAAGGACTGGTGCTTGTTTTGTGCTAGTCTGATCTTTTTTATTGGAATGTTCCTTAACTTTTAATTTTATATTTTTATTCACATATAACAGGAGAATTATGTTCCAGTGATAGGTACTGGGAAAGAGGGGTGACAGACATGCTTTCTCTGTCATGGAACTTAGATTTTAGTGGAGGAGACAGACAGAAAAGTAGAAAAATAAAGTACTACAAGATTTGTGAATGCTATGAAGGAAGTCAATCTAGGCTGAGAGGATCTAGTAGAAGGGACTTACCTGAGGTGGTGAGGTCAGAGAAAGCGTGAAACTGCAGAAGGGAGGAGGAGCAAGGCTTGGGCGAGGAGGGGGAGAGCTTATGCAAAGTTCTGGGTTGGGAAAGACAGCAATGTGATTTGAGTGTGGCTCTGAGATGCAGATCTAGAAGAGTTTGGACAGGTAATGGTCAAAGGCAGGAAATTGGGTGCCATGGAAGGGGTTTGAAGCCGGGAAGTGACCTGAGGCTGTTACTGCAATCCAGGTCAGAACGATGGTGACTGATGAGTCGCCCATCCATCCATCATAGAGACATTACGTAGACTGAGTGATGGCTGTGGTTTGAAAATAAGTTGCTGGTGGGAGGGGGGGATGATGGGGAAGAGAAAGGAAGAGACAAAGATGACTTGGTATATTTGTAGCTGTCTGTTCTCTGGGTTATCTTATTGTCTTTTGAGTTTGTCTGTGGTATTCATTTCTGTCTTAGATTTTAAATTTAAACACGAAAGGTATGTCAGTGGCTTTTGATTTTTGAATGACCCTAAAGGATTATTTTTCTGCATATGGGTATAATTTTTATATTAAAAATCATTTGATAAACAGAAAACTTGTGGTTTTCACCTCCATTTTATTTGAGTGTAAACACTTAAGATTCCGTTTATTAGGATGTGGTTAGTATTCAGGTAGGCGCTACTGGTTTTTTTGTTTCTGTTTTAATAGAGGCTATTTCCAGTTTAACAACAGAGTGTTTCAGGTTTCTGAGTGGATTTAGTTTAGCTGTGAAATACATTTTCCTACGGTTTAGAAAATTGAAGGTGTGTTTTGCGTAGCTTGCTTTGCTTATAAAATTTTCCAATTCTAGCTTATGTAGCTATATGATGGCTGGGAGAAAAATCATGAGAAGTAAAAGTTGAAAAACTGAGGCAAGTTGACACATAGAGAAAACCCTGTTTTTTACTCAACAGACATTGCTCATTGCATGTGCTGGTAATATGGAACTAACATTGACTCAGCAGTCCCTGTCATGCTCTTGAGGAGCTTCCTGGTTACTGAGACTTTATTTAAAAGGCCAAATTCATGTCATCTGATACAGACAGTAGCTGTGGGAGGGCGGAGAAAGGATGTGCAGCCTAACCTGAGCATCCCGAGGGGACCCTCACACGTGTGCCACAGAGGCTACACCGTGGGGGACCGGAGGGTACCCCAGGTAGCATGGCCATGCCTCCTCCCACGGCCCCTGTCTGAATATTTAAGGGAACTTTTGGACTTCTGTAATTAGGAGTAGGGGAGAAGGATTAACAGTGATTTTGATTAGCATAGAATTGGACACTGTGGATAAACCTTTGAGTTTCTTCTTACCAATAGTTTAAATCACCTAAGTTCAATTTAGATGGGATCCATAAACGTCATTACGCTGGGAATGGAGTCTCGCTCAGGTGAGAATTGTGTTCCCATGGCACGTAAAGTGCTGATAGCCATTTGCTTTGTGACCTTTCTCTTGTTTAAGACTCAAATTCAGAGAACTTTTTATCTAAGAATTCTGCTCTTGATCTGAACAGTTGGACTAGGTTCTAAGGTGCTAAGGTTCCTTCAGGCTAAAATATTTTAGTTCTTTCTGATAAGTGAAAGGGGGCAGTGGTGATTATCCTGGAGTCGGAGTTAAGGTCACAAGGAGTAAGGTGGGACCATCAGGCATGTGCAGCTGGTGGGGAACGACAGCCGAGTGTGAGTTCTGCAGTGGTGAGGCGAAGAGGCTTGGACAGCAAACCAGGTGGCACACGGGATCTCCTTGTCTGTGGAACAGATTTAACCCAGGCTTAGGGGAAATGCTTCCCTGTGTCTTGGGCATTTTAATTTTAGCAGGAATTTCAATATATTGAGGCCTACTGTATCCCAAAGCCCAATGCTAGACTCAAGTCATATAATGGAAGTAAACCACGGCCCTAGCTTTTGAGAAGCTCAGTATACTGAACAAATGAAAATAGAATACCATGGGAGCTTAAAAGCAAGGATGGTCAACTAAAGGGTCAGGCAGGGCCTGAAAGGGAAGGTGCTCTATGAACTGGTTCTTTTTTTCTTTTTTAAACATCTTTATTGGAGTATAATGGCTTTACAGTGTTGTGTTAGTTTCTGCTGTGTAACAGAGTTAATCAGCTATATGTATACATATATCCCCATACCCCTCCCTCTTGTGTCTCCCTCCTTCCCTCCCTATCCCACCACTCTAGGTGGTCACAAAGCACCAAGCTGATCTCCCTGTGCTATATGGCTGCTTCCCACTAGCTATTTTACATATGGTAGTGTATATATGTCAATGCAACTCTCTCACTTCGTCCCAGCTTACCCTTCACCCTCACCATGTCCTCAAGTCCATTCTGTACATCTGCATCTTTATTCCTGTTCTGCCCCTAGGTTCATTAGAACCTTTTTTTCTTTTTTAGATTCCATATATATGTGTTAGCATACGGTGTTTGTTTTTCTCTTTCTGACTTCACATGAACTGGTTCTTGAAGGATGAGAACAAGTGTATGAGGTAGAAGAGGTGCTGGGAAAGGCACAGGTGTGGTTCATGTGAGTGAGGGGCTGCGAGC